AACTTGAAGGAGTTTTCATCGTTAATGTGAGTCAGAAAAGATACAGCTAAGTGGCATGGTAGATGTTAAATTTAATGAACTTTCTCCAACGATCTGAATTCAAACATTAAAAGTCAAAGGAAAGAGTTTTGCTGACAGGAAATGTGTATTGTAGTGAAAAAAGGTTAAACTTTTTTTAGTACCTCTTGCTTGGAACCACAAAAGATGAACATTCAAGCAAAAAGTTGAATTAAAAATTCTTTGTACTATTTCAGACTGTGGTAGGCTTTTTGCAATACCTTGTGTTCAAGCCCCATGTTTCTAGTTGTTGGCAAAACAAGGCTTCTTTTTGATGCATAAATAGATTTTTTTACAGGGATTTAATTTTCAGTCTGAATGTTGGAGTGAAACGAAATCTTAAGAGGGCATAGATATTAACAAAATGAACGGAAAATCATCAAAGATTTGGACCCTTTATATCACTGATCTTTCTTGATGAGGCCAGGATCTTATCCGATCGGCATTCAGAAAACCAACTGAGTTAGATAAATGCCTTACAAATGACCCTTTCAGAAGCCTGGATTTTCCAGAAAGTACGTGCAGCCACTTCAGTACAGAGAAATTAGGTGCTGTCCTCATTTTTGAAAGAGGCAATCTAGATTATGCTGAAGACTCTTAAATTAGTGACAGAACCAGAGATTAAGCCTGTGAGTATCATTAAGTATGAGAGCATCTCTTACATCCAGTATTATTTTCTTGAGGCAAAGTTATGTTCTTTCTTCTCTGCTTGTTCTCCTTTTCTATTATACATTTGTACCTCACTGGAATGTTTATTCCTCAGAGTCTTTCTCCTGATTTTTCTGGTGCTCTAGAGGTCTTATCTGCCCTGTGCCATTGCTGTGTCCTGGAAAATAATGTTCTGCTCCTTCAGAAAAATGTTTTTTAGCCTAGTCTGCATCATAAAGCAATTATTTTTTTAATCTAATTTCATCAGATGCAAATATGTTTTGTCTCATTACAAATTTGTGATGATACTTCTTTTTAAGTTGCTAACTAAATAGTACAGTTCAAAGGTAAATATATCCAAAGAGGTAAGTGTGTAATTGTTTTGGCAACTCCTCTTTGGATTGAAGGTACACAGTAATTTGGAAAATGCTAGCATAGCTGCCACATGCTACCTGAAAATCTGTGATTATTGTACCACACAGAGTATCTTTTCTTTCAATGTAGTACTAAGAAATAAGTGTATTTATTCAAAGCTATACAGTTTGAAATTTGACTTATAACTTAACTTTCCTTCCCCTCAGGAAAAAAAAACACACTAAAATACTCAGTCTTTGTTAAACAGTATTAGATTTTTAACTGTTCAAACCATTGACAAGAAAATTGACTTTTAATGTCTTTAATTGCCTTTAAGATTTCTGTATGCCAGTTACAAATTTTAACTAAAATGTTTTGCCCAAGAGAAACACCAGAGAACTGACAGTTCTAATCCTCCTCCATATCACTGTGACAGCAAAATCATGAAAGTTAAACTGGCAGAAAAAAACCCCAAGAAAAATAATGGTGAAAATGCCTGCTTAAGTGATCAAAAATGGATTTCTTCCTTCTATAGTTAAAGGTACAATATAAATTGAAGCTTTTTGATGATGATTTTTATGTAAAAAGCAATTTCACTGGCCAGAGTACTACTTTAGTATTTACACTGTCAGCACTTCACATTAAGCACTGTAAAGGCTTGTAAACCTCCCAAAATATTGGCTTAAACTGTAGCATAAAAGATTTGCTTAGAAACAAATCCCCATTCTGTTTATGACATTAAAAAAATATTTGCATTAGGATGTGTTTTTTAAAAAAAAAAAATCATTCTTCTGTGCCTCTTTAATAATAGGTTTAGATCCCTTGACTTTATATGAAAAGTTGTTTTCTCTTGTGCAGGTTTTTTTTGCGTTGGTTTTTTTTGGTGGTTCTTATTGGAAGTTTTGGTAAGAGAAACATTTGAAATTATCAGCGGAGTGCATCTTCAGCCAGGCTGGTTAATACTTACTGAAATTCTGTCTTACTTCTGATAGAATGAAGCAGTCATTTTCAGTGAATTCATTGAAGAAATACACATTCTTAATTTTTAACCTTGTTCGCTAAATGGTGATTCTAGAAAAGCATTACACAGTGCCACACTTGTATTCCAGTTTTCATGGTTTTATTCTTGTTTGTAAGACTTACTGCAGTGTTTACTAACATTTTAATGTGCAGGGGACAAAAATAATCAAGTAACAAAACTTCGACTGATGAAGACCTAATTTTTGAAGTTTCTTTCATTGTCTTACTAGTTTTCTTCATAACACCTTAAGCTGAGACTGCAACGCTTGTAACATTTCCACTATTCAGAGTTCATGGGTGCTTGTCTACTTAGGGTACTTTTTCAAATGAAAATATAATTCCAGATTCACTTTTTCTCTTGCAATAAATCTGGTTTGAAAGGTATTTAAGTTTCACTCAATACAGTCAGTTTGCAAGAATCTGGTTTCTGTTCAGTTTCCTGTTTGTGATATATGTCTGGAGCTGTGTACAGTAGGGTAACTTTTCATTTTGAGGCATGGCCACCAACATTGCAGCAATGGATACTGGCTGCTTGTAGCAGGGCTGAGGAATGGATTTTGAAATCTCCCCCTACTGTTAAATCCCTTCCTGCCTCGCTCCTCCCCAGAAGTCAGATTTTATTTTAAAATCCATTTTGATGCACCATTCTGCTGGGAAGGATTCCAAGAAAGAAATACTGAAAAGTTTCGTTGGCCTCCTTTAAAGTCGTCTTGCTCTGTATCACTCAAAAGATACGGGGAAATCTTAATCTGTTTATCGGCGTGTGTCTCCAAAGTCCTGTAAGTTAATGTGTGCAGAGAAGGGTTTTCCTGAAGAAATAAATGTAATAACTGTAATTAGTTCTTGTTGTCTCTGCTATAACTTAAAGGTGTTAAAAGATTACTGTGAGGCTTTTAGTTTGAACTTCATACATGAGTTTGGTCCAGGGAGTGACCAGGGGCAATACCCATATTTTCTTACTCTTGAGAAACCCTATCTCTGTGAGAGACTCATTTGCTTTAAAATTCTTTTGGAGTTTGGGAAAGAAATGTCTTAGCCATTATGCAGATAAACAAGGGATGTGTAAAACAGGATGATGTCGTTAATGTAACACTATCTAAATCTCCGCATTGAATTGCATTATTTCAAATATATAAGGAATACTTTGCTCTACCCAGTTGCTCTGCTACCGTTTTAGCAATACGGGCTACAGTATGTCCTCTTTTTTTCCACCCCCTCTAGAAATTGAATGAGGTTCTTTTACTTCTGTGTTGTACTGTGTACAGGTTTAATGTCAGTCATATGAGCCTTTTAGCAGTGTTAAACACTGTTTCCGACTAAACATTTGGACTGAGAGATTTAAAAGATGAGATTCCATTTATCAGGTGCAGGATGCAGCATTTGTTAAAAGTAGTTTTAAATTCACATAGGTGGACCCAAGCGCATGGTGGTGGTGGGTGAACACGGGGACACGGGACAGCGGAATCTTGGGTCTTAACTAGGTGTTATTAAATATTGTGGTTTGACCTTGTTGACTAGTGGACAGAATACTTTAAAATAAACAAATGAAAAGCCAACAACACCCCCCACCACCC